CTGCAGACAGATCTGCCTCACCCAGGAAGAGCGCAATGATAATACCAACATGGGCCAGTGAAGCAATGTCCTCCACAACTAGACTGAAGAATAAAAGGACAGCAACTTGTCTGTTCCCCTTCCTTGATTCCCTAATGCTGTTCCCCTCCCCCAATTCCCCAATAAAATCTTTTTTAAAAAAAGTGTCAATCCTTTAGAAAATTAAAGAAAGGAAATATATTCTTCAGATTTACATTGCCAACTTAATAAATTTTCACTGCCTATTTCTGGATTAGCTTATTTTTGGAGAGACAAAATAAAACGATTTCCATGCAGTATGTATTGCCACCAGCAATGTATGAGAGTTCTAGTTGTTCCACATCCCAATACTTGGATTTGTTAGTCTTTTTAATTGTAGCCATTCTGTGAAATGGAAAGTGGTATCTAATTTTGGGGTTTTTTTTAGTTTTTTTTTGGAAAGTGGTGAGCCATCCTGCCACCTGTTGGCAGCTCAGCAGCAGCTCAGCTCGGGCCGGGACTCGAAATGCTGTTGCTCAGAGCTCAACCCCTTGAGCGAGCTCTTAACCAACTGAGCCACTTGGCCAGTCCTCTAATTTTGGTTTTTATTTGTATTTCCCTAATGACAAATGATATCAATCATGTTTTCATGTGCTTTCTTTTAAAAAAAATTTATTTTTCAATTATAGTTAACATACAATATTATATTAGTTTCAGGTGTACAGTGTAGCAATTAAACATTTGTATCCATTGCAAAGTGATAACTCTAAATCGAGTTCTATCTGTTTATGTGCTTTTGTCATGGTCATATATTCTCTCTGATGAAGTGTCCATTCAAATATTTTTCCCAGTTTTTTATTGGGTTGCTTTTTTTCTTATTGTTGATCTTTGAGCATTCTTTATATGTTACAGGTATCAGTTCTTTATCAGATACATATTTTGAAAGCATTTTTATTTTGGTATAATACTATTTTTCAAAGAGCAGAAACTTTAAATGTTGATCAAGTATAATGTATTAGTTTACCGATTTTCATTATCATTCAGTTAAAAATATTTTCTAATGTACCTTGTGATTTCTGTGGGTTCTTTAAACATGAGTTTTAGGTTTTCAGGTATTTGTGGGCTCTTCTAGATGTTTTATTTTTTGTTGATTTCTAGTTTAATTCTGTTGCAGTAAGAGAATATAATTCGTTACATCTTACTAATTTGAAAATCAGTGAGAGTTATTTTATGGCCCAGTATGTGGTTTATTTTGGTAAACATTCCTTGTGGACTTGAAAGAGTATATCTATCATCTATCTACCTACCTACCTACCTACCTACCTACCTACCTACCTACCTACCATATTTCCCCATGTATAAGACGCACCCTTTTTTGAAAAATTTGGGGTCTAAAAACTGGGTGCGTCTTATACAGTAGTTGTATGAGCGCAAAAACAAGTGTGAAAAAAGTGAGAAATGCAAGTAAAAAAAAATCTACAACTACTGTATAAGATGTACCCAGTTTTTAGACCCCAAATTTTTCGGGGGAAAAAAAAAAGAGTGCATCTTATACATGGGGAAATACGGTATCTACCAGGTGCAAAAGTAATTGCAGTTTTTGCATTTTAAAAAAAAAAAGTCCTTTTAACCCGTATTTACTTGTGCACCAACCTAATATCTGTCCATCTTACAGGCATTGGGTTTAGTGTTCGGGAAATGTCAGGTTAAGGTAATTAATGGTGTCATTTAGCTCTTTTGTATTTTTACTGTTGTTTTTGCCTAGTTCTATTAATTTCTGAGAGAAGTATGTTAGTCTTCATGATTGTGGATTCAGCTCTTTTTTTCTTTTAGCTGTCAGTTTTTATTTTATGCATTTTGAAGCTTTGTTGTTACACCTAATTTATCATTATTGTGTTTACCTGATGTGTTGACCATTTTGTCATTAGGAAGCATCTCTGATTGTCTCCAGTAATATTATTTCTTGTTATGAAGTCTATTTTGTCTGTTATGAATATAGCTACTTCATTTTCTTATGCTGCTTACTGTTTGCATAGAATATATTCTTTCTAGCTTTTTAGTTTTAGTTTGTTTTTATATTTATATTTAAAGCATATATTTTGTTGACAGCATACAATTGGGTCTTGGATTTTAAATCTAGTTTTAAAAATCTGTCTTTTGATTGGAGTGTGAGTCTGTTCTATTTATATTT